TCAGTCCAACCAACTGAAAAAGACAGTTGCTGTCTGTTGCTGACTTCCCTGTTGAATCTGCCTGTATAGAGAAGAGTAAACAAGTACCAGAGCAAACAGTATTTCAAGCTTATTGTTGTCGTGTTGTCAGGATATTTCATATATATTGCCATAACAGCAGGTTTTGTACACATTACCACATTCGCCATCGCAGGCTGTTTGAGCACTGAAGCATGTGAGACGCACTACAAGTGGCTATTGAATGACTGACAGTGAAATGGAGGCTGGGCCCGCCGCTGCCAGCTGGTCCTTCGCTCTGAGGGAAACTGTGACGGAGAGTGACGAGTTTAGGTCAGCGACTCCCCTCGGCTGGGCGATTATGGGATAGGATTTAGCGGGTGAGAGGAGAGAGGAATCAAATAATGGGATGTGGATACCTAGCCAGCCAACCAGCTGGCTTTTTCTGGGATCAGCGGTTGGCAGAAGCCTCCCCGTCTTCCTGAGCTAAATTTAGAGCAGAGCTGAGGGGGTCTTCTCCAGGGCCCCTTTTCATTATTCATCAGCTGAAAAAGGACCCAGTTCAGTTTCTCTCTTCAGCAGTGAGTTGCCGCTCCGTGTTTGTGTTTATCTGCAGCCACAAAACACAAGAGGCAGCAGAGGAGAAAAGCCAAAGTCAAGAGTGTCGCTTTTTACTCTATTTGTTGTCTGTCATGATCAAATCAATGAGAGGTGATTCTCCTCATGTTTGTTTGTTCATCCAGTTTAATATTTCAGATACTGTTGATGGAGAGTTGAGGAGAACGATGTGTCAATACCGATACTAAAACAATACTTTTTACCATACTTTACATACTATTTCTCTCCTTGTTGTACTTTAATTTGATAAAAGTTAAACTATTCTTTTCCCCCTTTCGCTGCTCCCATTACAACTCACCCCTGTTGGTCCCTGGACCTCAGTTTGAAAACCACTGCCCTACTAAATAAAGGACAGGATCAATGGTGTTAGCAGGCTTCTCGTTTTTAGATTCTATAAACGGTGTCACTCAGTGTTGCCAACTCTTTCCCAGTGGCAGAAATCAAATATTTGAAGTAAAAAAGTAAAAGAAAAAGCTCTCCAAAGGGAGGGAGATGGCCAAACAAACTATTCACACATTTACAAGCTATAGGAACATCCTCTGGAATGAGTGAGAGCAAAGTGTCTCTGCTGAAAACTACCTACACCGTACGCCACATCTACTGTTGCCTGTGAGCCCGGCGCAGGGCAGAGACCCTTGCCAGAAGAGCCCTGCAGCATGTGTGGGAATCAATTACAATTTCATATTTATCGTATTTTCTCTGATGGTCTGAATAAGTCCCAAAATTGGTTGCTAAACACTTTTTAGAAATAAAATGAGTCTGAAAAGTTGGTGTCACTTAGGTTGGTAAAAATAGAAATTAAAACATGCATGGCAAATCAGTGTCTGTACACTTGGCCAGTGATGGTTTATTACAGAGAAAAGCTTTGCACTCTTTTGATATTAAAAAAGTTATCAAGAAAGGTAATGCTTCCTGGACATTCATGGCTACATAGCAGCTTGTCCCATTAGTCTGTGGAATTATTATGTTAGCCACAGTCACCACTAAACTAATGAAAGGTTTGCTATTAACACTAATGCGAGCTTCAGTGAATTGGTTTACTTTTCTAGATACAGATTGATTTTCAAATTCTATGAATAAAATGTTTTTGTGTAATGAAAAACAGTTTTCCCAGAATAGTTTATTGTCTTGCTTGTATTGGAGCAGTGACCCTTTAGAAGAGTACTAATGGGACTAATGGTAATACTTCTATCCCATTTATATTCCTTTGATTAGTGTAAATAAAAACTACAGCTAAGCAGCACAGTGTGAATAGAGCTTATAATAAGTCTTCTGAAGTATGGGACTAGAAGAACAAAGGATATGGTCTGGATCGTATTGGTTTGATGCAGTACACTGTTGCAGTCCTAATTAATAGTATATACCGTTAGTTGTATCACATATTCCCTTCATTACATAGAAATGAAAGAACACCATGGTGGAATTAAAATGTTTGGTTGCTCAGTTATGTCAAAGCAAAATGTAGAGGTGGTTAAATTCACCGTCGTGGCTGCTGTGAAGTGGGTATAAGGCCGCTGTAAGGCCGAGGGTTGCCCCAGAAACCTCCAGGCGATGCGTCAGCCCTGCTTGTGGAATGCCACGGGCCGGTTTCCTCCTATTGTGACCGGGTAGAGGGACCCCCCCCCCCGTTCTCCTTTTCCCCCCTCAGAGGTGAATAGACGACTCA